TATTTCAGTTGTTGAGCTCCCAGCGCGAAGGCCTTCGATGATCGCGGATCTTCGGTTATACTCCGCACTTGGTTTCAACATCGCGGCCATTTCGATAATATAACTGTTTACTAGAAACATCAAGTTTTCTTGGACGCCAATAACAATCACTGGCGAAGGCACAATATAGCGAAAAATTTAAATTGAAATTTGTCCGGATTTTGATGCCGCACCCTGTATAATTTGCTTGTACTTACATTATGGTGGTCCATCCATTTCTTTGTGACTTTAAGCAAATAAGATTTCGTAGATGTTATATTGATATTTCCAATTAATTTAAGAAAATTCTCCTTCGACAACTCATAAATTGATTTAAATGGTAGATCACCGAAACGATCTAAGCAAAATGCCAACGAAACATCTCGGAGGATATTTAGATTCAATTCTTGTGATAACAACCACAAGTTAATTACATATTTTGGTGGCATAAAATGTAAATTTTTTTCTATTTTATAGATTAAATATTTTATTAGGTCATCTACTGCAAATAAAATACTTAATTCTATTAGGATAGAGAGCCGATCACATTTTCTAATATCCCAACAATTTGTTGTAAAGATATCAATTTTGCTATTGTGAATCCAATCAACAAAATCCTATAAAAATAATAATTGTTTTCAAATTGTACAATCAGATCTGTTTATAAAACTATGTAATTTCTGTATCATGCATAATATAGAATAATATCTCGAAAAATATAAAAGATATAGAAAAACATTTTTAAACAAAAGTTGACTGAAGGGATATATCTCTGGCAAAAATTTTTTTCAAAAGTTTTATACTAAGTAAGACATTTTTCACTGAAAATTCAGAAAATGATGAAACATTGTGTGAAAGCAGTTCACAGAACTCTTTTCTGTTCTAAATATAATATTACAAAAGGACTAAGCAACTAAGGGCCTCTTTCACCAACTCTGATTAACTTAATCGGTCGATTAGTTCATCGGAATTGACCAATCTCATTTGTCATTTTGTTTGACGATAGATGCGATTGGTCAATTCCGATGGACCAATCGACCGATTAAGTTAATCGGTGTTGGTGAAAGAGGCCCTAAAAGCCTTGGCACATAGAAAAACTTAAGACGTAAGACTTAAGCAGTAATGAAATCAATATGTTGGATTCGCTATTGCTTACGTATGGTCTTACGGTCTCTATTGTGATTGGCCTTTAAGGCCATGGCACATAAAGAAACTTAAGGCGTAAGGCGTCGTCTACAATACACGGAGTAAGAAGTAAGAGTAAGAAATTGACCAATCACAGTCGATTATTCTTCTCACATTCGAATGTGATTGATCAATTTCTTACTCTTACTTCTTACTCCGTGTATTGTAACGACGCCTTAAAGCGTTACGGCAATCCTTGTGCTCATACTTTTTTTCTTCCACTCTACATACATTACCTGGAAATGTAGTCGTATTCCAGTGTATCTGATCTCTGATAGGTTGAAATCGTGTTATTCCTATCGCTATTGCTATTCCTTCGCATTGTGTTTAATAGCGTATTTCACTGGCAGAACCGGTGCGCACTCAGTGCACATTAAAGCTGTTGCACATTAACCTAATCTGACTGTAAAGATGAGAGATCTCAGTTAATAAAATACCCAATGTATATTTTATCAAATATCACAATAAAATATATTAAAGATTTCGTGGTTTAATTTATTTCTATATTTTCATTAAACGTACATTTTTATGTCGATTTGTGTACAACAGCTTTAAAGTGCACTGAGTGCGCACCAGCTCTGCCAGTGAAATACGCTATAAGGCTTTAGGGGAAGAGGTGTAGTAGGAACAGCTAGGGCTGCGTTCAGATACTACACTCGGGAGCACCTAAGCTCCCGAATGCCGTTCAGAAACCAATTGAGAGTATCTCAGCATTATTTAAGTGGCCCGTTCAGAAACGTGTCGAGTGTTCCCGATCGAGAAACTTTTGCACCCTGCTCTTTTGTTAGGTGGAAAGTCTCTCGATCGAATTGGTACACAAAGCGCGGGAAGCGAAACATGGGCTACGTTCAGCAGACTCAGCAGTTTTGCAACCGTTTTGTGATTCGTTGCGCTGATTGGATTATACTTTTAAATTTAAAGGAATAGTCCTATCTCAACGAAGAATCACAAAATGGTTGCAAAACTGTTGAGTCTGCTGAACGTAGTCATGGCTACAAATAAGAATTTATTAATGCGATTTAATAATGAAAATCAAATTATATTGTAGAAACCTGAAAAAAAGTAAGTAAAATATATTTTACTTCGATCGATTATAATTTACGATGAAGTACAATAAAGATTTTTTCGTCATGTTGCGTATGAAATTCCGTTAAAGTGTAATAACTATATAGTATTCTTTGATAAATCAATTTGTTTGCAAAATATTTATCTTTAAACGTAATTATAATTAATTGAATATAATGTCTAACTTGATTGCATTTATTTGCACAAAACATTTAATATTAGAGGTTATTGACCTTGTTTACAGGAACACTTGATACGCGTATTAACTAGTAAGTGTTTATTAAATTATCTTAATTGAGGCAATGCATAAAGAATGGTGTACTACTCTCGTACATTATGTATCAAAATGATTAATTAAATTAGTCATATCATGATATCACGTATATGTTTACATGTTTCGCTGAAATTAAGATAATATAATAGAAAGTTCACTAGCTAATACATATATCAAGTGCTTGTTTTTTACGCCATTTTCCTCTGGCTAAGTCGTTCAGAAATGTACACACCAGAGAGAGTACATACCTTATCCCTACCATTTCACTCACCAGACTCCTAGCAATCACCCACAAGGTGAAGTTTCTGAACGCAGCCTAGGTATGATTGACAGTAGAGAGAATCAAGGGAGAGTGACGCGGATAGCTTCTCTTCCCTGATTGGTTCCGCCATTTATCCGCTCACTTCCGGAAATGTGCATGGTGCATGTACGTATATACACACACACAATACTAGTGCGGTACAATACTAGTGTGTGTAGCACCGTATGTACCATACGATTCTACCATATCTCCTACTCACTCCAACGAACGGCGACTTCCGGCTGAATCCGCTCCACTCTCCCTTGTTTCTCTCTGGTTGACACCATCTCAGAACATTAATTATAATCTAGGCTCTAATAATATCATATATAATTAAGATTTCATACATGATTATTTATAAAATCATATACGGAATCTTAATTATATACGAGTATGTATAAAATCTTGTATAATCTTAGGTCTGTTTTTGTGACTGAACTAGTGTACACTTTTAGAACTTAAAGTGAGATAGATATACGTTTGATATTTGCCGAAAGCGAGAAAGTTCTAGGGCCGGTATTCATAGTCAGATCTTATATTCAAGACCGTCTTAAGTACGGTCTCAAGAAGTCTCGAACCAATCAGAAGGCTGCATTATAGTAGGGGAGGCCAAGCGGGGATTTTGGGATTTACTCGAGCGCGTCAGAATAACATAAAGGGGGAAAGCTTGCACCCTAATAAGTACCCCCACCACATATTAAACCTCTATATAGAGCCGGGGGTCCAGGGGAGCCCGTCAGATTAGTAAAAAAAAAATCGATCGTTCGAAAACTCGAGCGTGTCAGATTAAGGTATGGTGTGTTAATTACATGTAGAAAAGTGTACATTTCAATAATCTGACGATTTCAGCGTGACGTAAGGAAATGAGAGAGTCACAAAGTTGCAAAAAAAAAACGTGACATGGATTTTTTGACCCCTTTCTACAGCTAACCCCACCACGCAAACCGTCAGATTAATATTTATCCGTTATCAGAAACACATGGGTCGCTTACACTATTAATATCTGACACGCTCGAGTACTGTACACGCCCGTACACGCCTGTAAGCCTGTACACGCTCCCCCCACCACTGAAACGGCATACATCATAAACCTTTTTTTCTTTTTAGCATCTAATCTTCACAATCCAATAGGTCCCCACGACGCTTGAGTAAATCCACATTTAGCCTCTCGGCCTCCCCTACTATTAGTGTCTTAAGACATTACTTAAGACAGTCTTGAAATAAGACTCGACTATGAATACCGGCCTAGAGAACGTTCTAATGCAGGAACAGAAGAGAGATTAATCATGTACGAAATCTTAATTATATATGAGTACACATGAAATCATAAATGATCATATGGATCTTATATGATCATATACTTATAACCATTTATGAAATTATATATAATCAGATATAATCATATATAAGTTATATATAATAATATATATTTATACGTGACCACGTGTAAAATTTTTTTACTATATAACCTTTGTTCAAAATGTTCTTCTATATCTATTTTATTTTTAAACATTTAAACAGTAATAAGAATTATTTGTGTTGAAATCAACTTACTTGAAATGAAATTGGGAGAATATTGTCATATTTAATTATATGTTCCGTCTGACGATATTCTGAATACTTTTCGGATAAAAGAGCAGCAAAGTACTGACTCTTGCCGATTAATTTTTGCTTCTCAACTTCAAATCGATTCTCTTTTAGAATCAATATCACCGTATCACGCGGTTTCTCAATTTCCTGGCTCTTATTTTCCATTCTAAAATCATCAATACGATAAATATACTTACCCCCGTTGAAAAAAAAACTTTTACGAAAAAGTATAGAAAAACTACATAGATTGAGATAAGAGTTTAAAAATTCTTAATTTTTCGTAGATATTCATAGAGTGGAGTTGTTTGAGAGCGGAAGATATTTTGATTTTTCAAACAAAGCCACTCTACGTACCACCATAAATATTTATAAAAAACTACGAATTTCTAAGATATTGTCTCAATCTATATAGTTTTTTGTAAAAAGTTTTCCGCCAGGAAGGATACTAAACATATATAAACATAAAAATTATCAACACTACTCACTCTTATTCAAAGTTTTTCACTCGTCACGTGGCGTCGATATCTATACACCTTCTCGAGTCTTCACCTGAATTGGACTAAATTGCCAACAATGCCAGCACTAGGGATGGACGACGCTTCATCGATTATACAAAAATCGATGTTTTTCCGCCCAATAATCGATGCTCGATTCGATGTTTCAGAATCCGATTAATCGATGCATCGATCTTTTTTTTAATGATATCGATTATGGTTGGCTCTCATTGATCTACCCAAAGATATAACTATCCAAGAGAGTTCTAGATTTATTAGAGACTAGAGAGACAGTCCCTAGCAGGCATTTAATTTATTTATGAATCAATTTTCTCATTACTAGTAAATATTTTGGTAACCAAGAAATTGCTTTCTGAAATAAAAATTATATTTTATAAAAAGTAATCAATGTATGGTTTCTAATAGTCGTTATAAATTTAAGAAAAATGTTCTCTTATTAACAACAATCAGATTCAAGTAATGACATTTGTTAGATTTAATAAAACAATTTTCTACTGACAAGTAATTATGTTTTTATTAGAATAAAATATTTTCTTCATTGATAAATTATTTGCTTCAGGATAATATTTTATTGGAACAAAAAACAAATTTATTGTGGC